ATCACCGTCGAGTGGAACAAAGAGGCACTCAGTTTCATCGGGAGGTATTCATCCAGCAATACCGTGTCACTCCATTAGTAGCAAAAGTATGAGCCCATTAGGTGATGTTGCTTCAAAATCTAAAACTATGCTGAAGCGACTTTTGAAAAGATCATCGCCTTTGGAGATCCACCCTCCTGAGTAAACTTACTCTTTACTGGGAGTGGTTTGTAGATTGTCAGAGTTCTTATTTGAAATGAAGTTTTCGTGAGCCGAGATACATGCAAAATTCAGGATCAAAAACGGCACGAAATCTCGAATGCCCTGAACAACACTTTGAAGTGCTACTCCAATCTGTCTTCTATTCTGAATGATTATGATTGTGACGATTGAATGACGACTATTCATGATTCTTTAATTCATGTTCAATGTTTCAATGTTCACTCAGAAGTTCATGATCTATTTTTTTCTTCTCAGAGACGAAACTCAGCAAGGATTTCCAACCGAGAAAAGGGTTTGCTAAGTCATGAAAGTGTCTCTCGCTTATTTCGATTATTTCAAACCTTTTAAAACCATAACACGAAGGTTTCGAAAGGCAAAAAAAAACTTTATAAAGACAGGAGGGACTTCTGCAGCAAATTCATGCTGAGCTCCCCTGGAAAAGAAAAAAGTAGGACAGGATCACGGACTCCAAGCTTTCTCATCTTGAACCCTCGACGCGATTTGTTCTTATTGCGTACTTTGTGCTTCTGCCACGAGTTTTGTAAGTGCAAACTTCATTACGGCCAACGTTAGGGCCGAACATGGCTCAAGGCTTAAGCATTGCTTACCATCCCACCAAACGAAAACGAACCATTCGCGATTCTGACTTCATGTCAAGAATACAGAGTTCGAAAGATGGCTCACCCCGTATTACATCGCTGAGTTGTAGCCCTACACTGTAGAACTATACTTCAGCGGCGGAATCTGAGGTGGCTTATCATTTAAATTCTGGTATTTCCCTTGCGTTCCTGAGATGACGTCAAAAACGCTAGAAGGGATAAGGCGTTGGGTGGGATAATGAGCTTTCCTAGGACTTGAGCCATGACGACGACGACGAAGTGAAGGCAGGGTCAACCGTCACCTTAAACCGAATTCAAAATATGACCCGAATTCTCTTGGAAAGTCTCGAAACCACCTCTGCACTTACTATGTACGGTACACTGGCAAAAGAAAGGCTAACATTACGGGAAATGTGCAATCTACAAAAAATCACAAGGCACTTGCTTGAATTCGATCATAAGTAGCAGAACATGAGCCCCACTAGCTTGCTGACAAGCACAAAATCACAAAATAAACTGCCTTCATTAGCTGCTAAACCAGAATTGGCTTATAGTTAACATGGCGCTGGAACGATTATAAGCATATGACTAGGGTTTCAGAATCACAAAATTATTTCCATTTTGATACAAAGCACATATCGAATGGGAAAATTTTGACGCTTCACATTGCAAGCGAGTGCATGGCGCACTTAGAGCACGAGAATTTACTACAAAGTGCCCGAATTGAGCGCGGTAGCGTTGCGTTTGCATTGCGCGCGCTGTCTTTCCCTCAGCCTGTCGCGGATAGACTGAGGCGGATTACTAATTTTCAAACGAGTGTAATTCTGTACGATGTCAGTATTTTTCAGAACGCTAATTAGTTTGCCATCTACAAGGCAGCTAGTTTCAAAAAGCCACAACGTTTGTGCAGTATCTTCAGAAATGTGTTAGTTGTGGGTAGAGAATTCATAAAAATGCACACTGGTTTCAGAAAAGCACAACGTTTGTACCGTATCTTCGAAACTGTGTTAATTATAGTGTAGAGCATTCATGAAAAATGCGCGCTGCTTCGTTTGAAAGGTTGTAATTTCTACAACTGAGGAAGTCTGAGAGTTTGCAGGAAAATTTTGAGAATCTATAAACTACTCAATCTTTTGTAGTTTTATTTCTTCTTCGAATTGCCCCACTTGGCCGTTTTTATGCACAACCGGTTTTTTGGCTTTCAATGACTACAACTTCCTTCACAATCAACCTTTTACAATTCTTGTCCTCCTGAAAAAAAAACTAGAATAGAGCATTTAAAGACTATTTGAATTTATTTCAAAATCGATGGAGTCACGAAATCGTCCCATAGAACCGTTTGGGGGACATGCGGACTGACCTTTTTTGACGAAGCGGTGGCTCTTTGGCTTTGAACTGCTATAACTTTATCAAGACTCAACCTTTTGGATATATTCACCCACTGCAGTAAACGAGAAGGTTTGAGTTTTCTAATGACCACTTGATCTCATTTCCAAGATGACCCGTTTATAAGATCGTCCCGTTGGACCTTCTTTTCATAAATTTTTGGAGCTGCTCTCCTAAAAACACGAGTTTTTAACACAAACACTTACAACTCTATCTATAAGCTCAATTTTGTGCCGAGCAATGATACCGTAACGTCGCACAAGCGTTGTGCTTCGTAACAGATGCTAAGACTTTTTCAGGAAATCGCCGACAGACAAATATTTTTTCCGAACTTTTCTTGTAGCCTCTTAAAATACCTCCGAATACGACCCCCCGTCTGCCAATTGGGACCCCCACGTTGGTCTCGGTACAACGGAGGATTGATCCTGCGTGAAAGGAAGCCTCAGCCGTAATGGAGTTTCCACCCACAAACCTCGTAGCCCAAGCAAATAAAGCACTCAGTAGCAATTAAATCATAACATTTGAAACATTGAACATGAAACAAGTAGAATCATGAAAAGTCGTCATTCAATCGTCACTACTTCAATCAGGCAGATTTGGTAGCGGGAATGGAGCAGGACCTCGCAGTATTGTTCTGGGCACTTGCGATTTGTGAATGCGCTAATCTCGCAAATCCGCGATGAAGTGCGGACTCTGTTACCAGCGTAACAGAAGACAATAAAAACAGTACATTCAGGAGTGAACTAAATCTATTCATGTGGCTTAGAAAGGAGCGGCTTAGAAGCGAAAACTGGCCTAGTTTAGTTCCAAAGGTTGTTCATTGTATTCATGAGAGAAGTTTTGTAGGATCTTCAATACGTCGGACAGAGAGTATGATAGCCGCAGTACAGCTGCTAGACCTGCTTGTTTTGGGCGCTTGAGAGTTGAGGTGAGGCCAGAGTCGGCGCAGCTTGAATGCACCTTTTCAAAACAATGTGAACGCGCACTCTCCAGTTTGCAGTATTATTAAGTGGCTTTCCTTACTCTCAACTTCCCGGATATGACCTTATTCCCCTTATTCCTTTATTTTGCGCTCAAGTTATCTCTGTCTCAATCAGAGGGAATAGACAGGCTGTGCGCCGCGTCGCCGATTAATCCCCCTCCCAACTCTCATTGAGCTCCTCTTTCCCTGCTGCTTGTGTGAGTTCGAAAAATTGCGGGATAGTGATTTGCGGATGTTCGTCTTACATCAGTGATCTCACCCGCCATATTGCACATGCCTCACGTAGCCAAAAAGCCGAAACGCGCGCTGCCATCAATGTGGTAAAAGGGAATCTGATTATTGGATGGAGGCCAAGGGCAACAAAGGGCTAACGCCCGACATCAACAAGGAAAGGTGTATACCTATCAAATGATATTATCTTAAAACCCGGCTGGGAGCTGGAACTTCTGGAATTGAATTCGGAGAAGAAGTAGAGGGAGCGAGCAAAGCCGAGTCCGATCGGCGTTCCTACTGAAACACACCATCAATTCGGCATAATCCCCAGCTTAAGAGAAGCAATGACTAGTTTTAAGTATACCCAGGTAGTGCTCACTCATCTCTGACATTCTAAAAGAAAAGGCGGAAAGTAGCAGCTATTTCAGACACTGCTCTGGTTGAAGGGCGCTGAACCTTCCAGGTGACCGCTAGGTGCTTGGCGATCGGAGGGAATTTGAACACTTCTCGAAGATTGGAGAAAACCGAAGCGTGAGAGGGATCAGTTATAGCAGATAAAAATATGGAAAAAACATCACAAGAATAAAAACAAAATACTATAGGTATGCAGTTTAGCTTTCTCCCCTATAGGAGAAGTCTTGCAATTCCTTTCTGCCAATATTTTCAAAGAAAACTCGCAGGTGAATACTACGAATGACGTATGGTAGAACGTTCTACTGACTTCTGCCTACCTAGATACGATGGCGTCACAATCAGCGCATCAAAGAAAGTTCCACAAACTCTACCTGCTGAGCAATCTGTTAGCCAGTCATTGTCTATCCCAATATCTATACATAGGTATTCACTTTGATACGGCATCTACTAAGACTGCAATTTTTCCAGGGAGCGTATTAAACCTTCGCCAACGCTGTGGATTAAAGGCAGATTTTACGACGAAAAGGCAGCGTTGAAAAGAAAGGTAGAGATGGCTAGTGGAGTAGGGATGAAGAAGAAGAAACCGTGTGAAACGGCTTGAAGCCCGAGAAAGGGGGCTCCTTCCGTGCTCGTTGAGTTTCGCATTGATACGGCTCTCATCGGTGCCCTCCTCAACACTACACTCTTTGTGGTACCTAATCGCTCGCAGCGGTGATTAGAGTCAGTGGGCGTTCCGCGCCGACTGCGCCAAAGCGAAGGCCATGTTAGATCGCCGAAGGCATACATTCGATGCGAATTGCGTGTTGGGCTGCACCCTTAGGGGTCTGCCTGCCTGTGTCCCTATTTCTCATTCCTCGACCTTCGTTCTTATCGTGGAATCCTCCAGTAAGAAATTTCTTAAGACTGCACCTCGATCTCCTTGACACTGAACTCCATGTCAAATCATCGTCTTGGTCATGGAAAAACTGACGATCAACTTGTATTTGAAGGTGCAGTTTAGCCTGCAGCCGCCTAGGTTTTGAAGAAGAGGAGAAGCTCTTGCGCGTTGGGGGTGCTTTGTCTTCATAGATGGTGGGTATAGTATAGTAATAGACCGAACTCGTAGCATAATATAATAGATCGAGCTGGATGAACAAAAATTATAAAACGGGAACTAAAAATAGATAAGGTTGATGCGAACTTTTATCCAGAACGAGTAACGAACCTTTGTGTTCCGATACATCTGCTGCTTCCACGGAGCTGTTACCACTATGCATTCGTTTGAAGTCCGCATCAGAGATTGCCCCTTCATCAGCAGCCTCTGCGAGTGCATTCATATATTCACGATCGATGTTTGCTTGCATCCCCTTAAATAGATTATTTCACTGAAAAAAATATGGAGTCTGGGACAGAACACGGCACTGTTCCATGAGCGTTTTCCAATAGTGAAATGAATAGTTCTATAAGGTCGTTCAAAACGTATCTGCCATTTTGCACCTCGGTTACTTCCCTTGACATTGTTTTTGGTAATTTTTCATAACACTTTATGCAATTTGGATGTCACCTTGTAGAAATTAGTCAGCCCTTCCATGATCATGCAGAGTTTTCGCTGTAGTTTCCGATACTTTTATCGTTAGCCTTTTTTAGACTAAAAATCGCGATTTTTGACTGGTAACATTTTCCAACTTGAAATGAAGAAAATCGGCTCGTAGGTTTGAGAAAGCTTCAAAAAGGACGCAAATGGGAAGCCTACTCTGCGAGAGTGGCTCGCCGCGCATGAGCTTTGAGGCAAAAATAAGCTTGAAACAATACATAGTAAAAGGAATGCGTTTAATATACAGAACTATACAAAAGAAACAAGGGTAAGCTTTTACAAATGCTCCTCAGAAGGTCTAACAGGAGCGAATGAAGCCTTCAAAGGCACTACCGCCCGCACAGCAAGGGGAAGGAAAAATGAGGATGGAGGAAAAATGTCGTCAATTCTCTTCGGACTAACCCATGCTTCCACTTCGAGTCATTGCGACGCGGGTGACTGGTCACTGGACCTTTACTGCAAAAGAAAGGGGCCGTTTTCTGAATGGGGAATAATGTGGGATGAAAGGGTTCGCGCGCTAGTAGAAAGGGCTCCTAGATAGGTGAACGAGAATGAGTTGCCTTGAAATATTGCTGAACCCGTAGCACTTCCTACTGGATTCTTCTCGAAATCTGATGGCTCAAGAATTCAGGATTGCAAGGTTCAAGAATCGAGTCATTCGACGGACTTTATAAAGAATAGGTTATCTGTAAGGGACTACCAATTCTCCACTCCTCGATGCAATTTTTGAAGGAGAGCTCGCGTCCAGAACAAGCGTAAGTGGTAATCGTCTTCGGACCCCTTCTAGCTAGCAAGAGCTCAAATTTATATTAGAAAGGAAGACATTCTCTCGCATAGCTACAATATGATGAACATAAAGATTTTACTTCAAATCAAAAGGTGCTTTTATACAGAGCTGTGATGCTTCAAAATCAAACTAAGCGCTCAAAACAGTGGATACTTTTTTTTGTACCGACCTAATGTTTCTGCTGAAGGCGTGATCGTGAACTCAACAATTGAATATGAATTCCAGTTTCTTGGAGTTTTGTTTTTCCTCCAAACTAGAAGGTTGACCTCTGTTTCTGCTTGCGTTCGGATTTTCCTGTCCATTCTGCCATTCTTAGTTATCGCCCACCTCACAAAATTTCCACAGTCATTCTTTGCATGCCGGATGCGGACCACAACATAAGGAAAACGATGCCGCGCTGAAATCGGCTAGGCGATCGGGAGCGGTGCCGCCACCGCCAGCCGCGGGTGTATATTGGGAAGCTCCAGGACATATGTCAAACATTTTGGAGAATAAGAAACGTTTTTCACATGTTTCTGAGCTCTTACACAGGAAACGTAATCGAAGAAATTTGATTTGTTTTTGTTTGACCCATCTGGAGCAAAAGTTTTGTTCACAACCCAGCATTCTTTTTAAACGTTCGCAGACGAACTGCCGCGAAAAACAGCAATTAACACATTGACGATAATGCGGGGGATATATATCCCGCGCATTGCAGGCCATGTCGGACCGTGCGGGATATACATCCCCCGCACCCATTACACTCATTTTTTTCGCGCACGCACGGTTCTTTTAAAAGTTTCTTGTATTTATTCCATGGAAGTAACCTTGACGTAGCTACAAACAAGTGGCACATAAAATGGTCACGTATGCTTTAATTCAGAAGAGGATTTCTGAACCATTCGAAATCTTTAGTTTGATAAATTTTTCGTTTACTTTTTCTTTTTATGAATGTGAAGATTTAAACAGTAGTAGAAGTAGACACGAAACATCAGAGATGGAAATATGCGTGTTTTGATTTGACTAATCAACGTTTTGCTTTTGAGATCCATTGCAGCTAGTTCTTACAAATTTCGCTTTTTCATTGTTATTCCATGTCTTTCGTTCAAAATTCTACTACTGTACCCCTTGGTAGGATGTGCTTGTTACAGTTTACTGATCTGGTTTTGTATTGTTTAGTGTTTGTGTATCTGAGGCGGCCGCGCCCGCAAAATCGCCCCGGTCCCACGTGGCCAAAAAAAAACAAAACTCGCATTGTCGTCATCGTGTTGACAAACAAGAACATCAAAGTCATTGTTAAAGCTTTCAGTCTCGCGCTCATTGCCGATATGGGCTAAGCGGCTCAAGGCGTGTTACTTGTGAGTGCTGACAAGCTATGGTAAGTACACCATGAAGAGCTGAGTGGGGATGAAATGGGGCCGCGGTAGCGTGACTTGTAGCGCACTTGCCCTGTAAGCAAGGGTGCGGGTTCTAGCTCGCCAGGAACGGAAGTTTTGTTCACAACCTAGCACTCTTGTGAAACATAATCAAAGAATCACATACGGAAGCGAGAGCTTCAATCTGTTGCTGAATAAGCGTAAGCACAGTAGAGACTAATGAGAGGCCAATGAGTAGGAGGAAGCCGACAATGATGATGTAATCATATTCGGATGGGAGGACATCTCCGAAGCCAATAGTTGTGAATGATATCAGTGTGAAATACAATGATAACCCTGAAATTAGAAAAAAATCATCCTGATAAAAATTGCTAGTCGAGCCAACCGAGTGGCAGCTTACCATAGCTCCAATCCTCGATCAGTGTGAATATCCAAGCGCAGAACAGTACCCAGAGTATTGTCAGAAAGATAAGAAACGAAATTGGAAACGAGAGAAGGTCCTCATCATCGAGTGAAGAGGAAGAGCGCGACATCTGAAGCGATTACAGAATAAAAAACAGTTTTCTACTGTGAAAGAATTCAACAAAGAAATCAAAGTGATATGATATCAGCCATGCACAACTGACCTGACCACCCTCATCGAATCCTATGGCCGCGTTCACCTAAAATGTTTTTCGATGAACTTCCGCTGAAGTTGTTGACTACATTGAGCCTACTTCCGCCCAAAGCCAGCTTTCTGTTGGTAATTTATCAATAAGGTCACATTCCTGATTATACAGTTTGATTCTGGGAAGGGGAGGGTCGCATTTGAGGCTTTCAGTTTGCTCCATACCGGCGGCAGTTGGGTGGTAATGTTCTAATGGAGGAGAAGAGGAGATCATTTGTCTTAGTTTTGTTTTTTCGTAAACATCTTTGGATGTTTACGAAGGATGGGCGAATTCGGCTATTCAAGGCATTTGCCCATTTTTCCATACATACCTCTCCCAGCTCGACGGAAGTCGCTTAGAAAAAAAGATGGCGAAAGTGGAATTTCTCGAGTGGTCTCAGAGTGAAATGAACTAGAAACAGCCGCGGTGAGGAGAGTGATGCTGGGAAAAAGTAGGCGATGACCCTCGCCCATCCACGTGCAATGGTGGGGGGTCGGTAATTTTCGTTACATTTTCCAACGTCATGGTTGACCCTGTCCACCATGCTAGCTCGATCGCGGTCAATTTTAAACGAAGCTCGCCGACATTTATGGACTGCTCAACCAACCACTCTAATAATACAATGAATCCTAGGTATAGTTCATGTAGGCTTCTCGAAACGTAGCTACCCTTTTCAAAATGGAAGAAAACTCATTGAACGGCTAGAAATTTTCGATGGCATGAGGAAGGCTTGCCTTTTTTCCTAGATCCTTATGAACCGCCGTTGTCGACTTGAGCACCAGTTTCCAAAGCAATTTGCAAATTCGTGCAAATATCGCTCCTAATGCGAATAGCGTGAGAACGGCAAATGGAATTCCAATGAACGCGTAAAGTATAGTTAGTACACGGCCTGGTGTCGTCGCCGGAACGATATTACCATAACCTAAATTTGTGTATTAGAAACGAGTGATTTGTAGGAGTGGCTATTTGATGTGGCCACATAGAGAATTGGATGCACGGCAAAAGCTGAACATGCCCATAATCTAACATATTTGATGACCTCCGAAAGTTACTCGAAAGTTTGAAATTTTCAATTAAACTTCCATCTTTTTGCAGACTCACCAATCGTGGTGTAAACAGTCATACAGTAAAACACCGCTCCCCAGAAATTCCATCGCGTTTCTTCAAGATTGACCTAAACAGGCCATCCCTTCGATGATATGGGTAGGAAAAATCGGGAGAGTTGATTACTCACTGGTTCTATACCAAGTTTCTCTTGAAATTTCATGAGACTCTTTCGCGTGTGGTTCAGAGCCGCCATTGGCTGCATGGCTCGCACGTTGTTCAGTCGATATACGGTATTCTGAATGGCGTCATCTCATCTGTCGTTAAGAGTATCTATCAGTGCAAAGGTGACTTTACCAAAGGGAAGAAAAACTATTTAATAAAACTTTTTCAAAAACTGTATCAAAGTCTCCTGAAACGAAGGAATATTAGATAGAAAAACGATCAACATTTTACCCAGGACTAGGCCTTCTTACCCAATGAAAGTCGCTTTTTGAAACCCTTGCAAGCTTCATAAATGCGTTACAAATTGCGGTGAAAACAGATTTTACCAAAACAGGACAACACAAAAAATATTAAAATATGTTCAAAAATATCTCAAAACGCAGGAGTAATCTCGATGCAAGGCGACCATTCAGCAGTCTTCTCTTGCAGACCTCGCAGGCTTGCAGGCTGGCGTTTCCTAGCAGTGCTCACCCTCCGAGAAACCCTGTGCGATGTTGTTCTTCTAATGAATAACCTGCAGAATAGTTTGAAGACGGTACCCATGGTGAGCCTGTGGGCGCATTCCGAATCATTGCGCAGCTGCGATTGGGGCATTGCCTGTCAGGCGGAAGGATTCACCAGCGGGTAGAAAGGCATCCTCAGCATCCCTCCCCGCAACATGCCTACAGGTCCATTTCGATCCTTTCGCACTCATAATTCGTCTTATCACTCATTTGCCAGCAGCATTGAATTTTGGTTCAAATTCGCCAACGGATAGCATCAACAGCATCGCATTTTTTTTTACACCGATCCGTTAATGGCTCGACAACTTGGTCTCAAAAAGAGCAAACCTCAAAAAGTTCTTTCCGTTGTTTCTTCAGTTGCTCCAACTCATATTGTTCGTTTGGGCCTTCTAATTCGCTGAACAGGATTGCTCCCAATAATGTATAGACGATGAGTCCCAGCAGTGGTAGCAACGCTAAAAATGAGTGAGAATTTTAAATTTATCAGTTTGTTGGGGAAGTTCTTAGCCATTTCCATCTGTATGTTGCAAACTCCCTTGAAATCGCTTTGAATATTCGCTGTGTAACATAGTAAACTGTTGGCTCTTCCGAGTCTTTTTGCAGTAATATATCGCTGCGATTATGGACAAATCGTCTTTGAATGTAAGTATGTTACCACAACAGAAGACTATCATCTGCCTCTCCTGCTGTCAAATCAACTGAATGAGAGAGCGCTCGACGATCCACATAGAACAACTCGGGAAGAACTTCATAGAATTCCTCGTCAGAAGCTTGGTATTTATCCTACACAATTAACTGCTGGAAGACAATATGTTGGCGATTATGGTGCGACATGTATTTATTGATTAGGGACTGTTATAAGAAAGAAAATCGATTTGAAATAAAATCGAAAATGGCCCAAGACCGTCTTTGGAAAAGAATACTCAAACCGGAGGCTATTCAGAGTTTAGCCCCAGAAGCCCTTACAGTACCATACTGGCTAGATTGGATGTGAAGAATCATTGAAGTAATAAGAACACCCTCCTCCTCGAGTTTTGAAGGAATGCCTACTGTGCATCGATCTGAGCAAGGAGTAGTAGCGGTGTTAGTGAATGACAGACTCTTTCTTTCTCCACTCATAAAGGATCACACAAAAATGCGAAGCCGAATTTCACCGAATTTCACAGAACAGAACACAGAAGAGCGACACTCTATGGTGATGGACATTCACTCAACAACTGCGAAAAGTATACTCCGATGCAGGGTCAACCCTACGTTGTTACGAGTAACAACAGGGGGGGGGTCGTACTCAGTTGAGCTTGGAGGGGGTCGTACTCTCTCGGTGGCCGGCAGTGGGATTCTTGGTAATATCAGATAATAGCCAGCACGTTACGCTTTCGTAAGATGACTGTTACTAGAGCATCTATAAACCACAGTTCCCTCTAAATGAGCTTTCAAATGAATCAGCAAAGTAGAAGGGCGCTCGAGGCGTGCAAGGCAAGGGATGCAAGCGTATGCTTGAAGCTTTCTAAGTTAAACATGACATTGGTCTTCCAAGAAGTTACGGGCAGTAACCTAAGAAAACCCGCGTTTTCGGGAAGATGGCTTGAAGCATACCCCACAAAAAAGTAAAAACGGGACTAATTTTTGAACCACCTACTTTTCAGAAACATTTTGGTGCTCTTCCGCTTGAATCTTGAGTTTGTTATACCGTGTTCAGCTTCCCAAATGAATGGCTTTGAACAAAGTCATGATCGTTCAAAGGTTAAAAAGTCGCATTTGCACAGAAAAAAAAGTAACAACGTACTAATTTTTTACTGAATCAATTTTCGAAGAATTTTTACCCATGTTCGGAGAGAGAATAATTTGTGTTTTCCAAATCAAATCAATTCGGCGCAGAAGCTCGAACATGGAGGAAGTTACAGCCTTAGAAAGACGGGTGTAAAAATTGTGTTGCAATTGAAGAACATGAAGGATTTCAGTATTTCAATTGGAGCGATAATTTTTTCTGACTTCTCATAAGTTTTTATCAGGTAATATGTCAATATTCCGAACAATGGTTAGTTTATTTTATGTCCCAGTTTGGTAACCCTTTGGAGTACACGGATCTCTTTGAATGCATCTCATTTTTCGTGTTTGGAAGCAGCGATGAATATCTGTCATGGATTTTGCTAAAGTTTCATCTTTGATGGCTTACGTAGAAAGAAATATTGATAGAAAACACTGTCTCTACCCAAGTGTCACATACAAGGGGGTCGTATCAAATCACCCATGAGGGGGGGGGTCGTATAAAATTTCCAAAGAGTAACAACGATAGGGTTGACCCTGCTCCGAAGCCACCAACGAGCAAATAACGTTTATAGATTCTAGAAGAGAGTACTTACATGGCTGTTTGCTAAATGAATTAAGTATTTGAACAAATGGTGCGAATTCATTCGATCATTTTCGTAAAACGGAACAGACGAATACCGTACCTTTTGCTTGACCCCGCAAACCCGTGACTAAACCGGCGCATTTCCTTGCGATTGGAGCCGACATGCTTCGTTTCCAGCAGTGATGCGTCCTGTCGAGGAACGAATCCAAAAAATAAAGGCAGTCACGTGCGGGAATTTTGAAACGGCAATTTCTGGAAGCTAAAAGAAAAAGTATAGGTAAAGAAGACAGAAAATACAGAAGAAAAGGCAAAAACTCTGCTCTCTGAAAACGACGAACACGCGATCGGTCCAAAAACGTGTGCGAAAGCACGAGGCATTTAAGCTTACATACACTGCAACGCATAATCTTAGTTCCACCTACAACTTTCCCAAAAACTAGAATTTAGAGATGTTTTTGTAAAGGGATTGGACAGATAGATTGTGACACGTGCAAATGCGAATCTGAATATTATCACGGAAATCCAGTTTGAGAAAGCAACAATTTTTTATCCTCACTTTTTCGAAAAGACCCGCTTTGCCTATGACGCAAAATTATAGTTCCACCTTATGTTTCTCCGCTGCATTTTACTTTTACCCAATCAAATTTTGCAAATAGTACCCATTCAAGTTTCTTAGCTCATAGCAAAGGCAAAACCGCTGTCAGATTTCCGTGAAATGAAAATCCTAGCAAAAGAGACGCACGACTTGTCGAAGTGTCAGCTTACGCTGCAATTTATTAAGGTGACTTCATAACGAGCAAATTTCTCAAGGATGCTACAGGGTATGATACTGGCAGGAACCTTGATTACTATCCGAAGAGGTGGTTAAAAGGCAGTTCCCTGTATAAATGGGCGGGGATGCAGGAGGGTGAGTGGGGATTGTACTGGCTGGACAATTTCCTCGAAATAGAGTTTGATGTTGTTCGTTAGTTGAGTGTGAGCGTTCAGAAGAAGTTCGTGTTTACACTGTAGCAGATAGGTTCCGTACCAAATTTGTTTTACATAGACATATTACTGAAAAAAATATTGACATGGGTCCAGGATAATGCTACAAGTGAAGGAGATTCGGGAATCATTCAATTTTGACCATTGAGAGATAAACAATGAACAAACCGTTCCTAAAAAATTGATATTCGCGATTTGAATAGCAACATGCTGCTTTCCTTTACACTCGTTAATCATTTGTGAAAGAGGTTAGTATTGGCTGGGGACAGTAAGGATGATTTGATGGTGAACATAAACCCTGCTAGCAAAGAGATGATCTGTTACTAAAAACTGGAACATTCAAAATTCTGCTCGAGACAAGAGCCACGTGCCAGCGCAGATGTTAAGAATTACGTGCTAATTGGAAGGTTAGTCAAAGTTGAAGAGTAGAACTCTGTTCCCATTTATAAGCGAGGCAACAAAGTGTCAGAGAATCAGAAAAACGGTCTCGGGTGGATTGCACGTACTAACTCGAGCGCTCCCATCGTTTATCACTGCTAGCTGCACGCTTTTCCACCCGGCGATCAGCGAGGAACCCGCAGCGATGAATTCCGACGATTTGGCAATGCGATTGAGATGTATTGAGTTTGATCGCGACAGCTGGTGCTGATAGGCCAGCGCCAGCGGTGGTGTCACTGGTGTTGAGGCAACACGGCGAGACAAAAACTGCCCGAGATCACTAGAGGTTGAATTGAAACTGCCAATTTCGACTACCTTCAAGTCAAATTTACCAAGTTCATTTTTTGAAGAAGCTCCATCTGAACCACGCGAACTCCACCATTTCATTTCTATTTCTCACTAATTGTACCCTATTTTTGGATGGCATTTTTCACAAGTAGTAGCAGTTGAATTGATTTGATTCGAGACATAGCAACCACTTGAGCGACTGATTCACCTCAACAAAGTTTAATTTATCAAATTCTTGGCAAGGGAGCTGGTTGGATCAGCACCAGGGCTTCATGCACCTTCAATCGACTTGGCACCTTAGTTATCACAATAGTGTGAACACTATTACGGTAATAAGAGCGCGTGGCTAGCAATCATTTACACGTTGGCTACGATGTCGGTCAATGGTGACCGACAGCTTGAAAGTAAGCAAACTTAGATGGAATCCACGACTTTTCTAGTTCAACGTTTACTTCAGTGTCCTAACTTACTACACTTCTCTGCGAATTATGATCTTTCTAATTCCTGGGAGTTTTATTCTGAATTAGTTATCAGTGGCAGAAATTGCATCAATTGGCAATTGAATGAAATTGCATCATTTGGCAATTGAATCACAACCACAAAGTTTCCACCGTCAGCAAACTATAAATCTCACTAAAATTGTTTATATCGGCCTTTACTTATTAGGTCACCATCAGTGGAATGTCCATTTCTAGCCTTAGGTTCCCATGATGGTCAAGTAGGCTCAGTCTTACTCATAGGCAGGACAGAAGTACCTATACAGTCCATCAACTGCAAAATATTTCACGAACAATTTTTTAACCTTGAGATGACTTGTTTAAATCTCTTATTCAATCATAAAGAACTAGATAACAGTCAAACAAAAGCTCATCGTAAGGTACGCAAAGTTTTTTGCGTCGTTCTATAGTGAAAAATTCGTAGAAGACTTCAGATGTGATCAGGATACCAGTACCATCTAAAGGGAAGCTCATATTAATAATAAAAGTGAAGAATGCGTGAAATTGCGCCTTCAGAACTTATTCTAACCTGAGGTTTGAAAATACCAGGCGATGCCACTGAAATTTCACCCAGCATTCAGTAGTAACAACTTTCTTTGTTTACAAACGTGTCTGGAGTACTCTAGTCAAAGGCATTTTGTGCATTTCGAGATTTAACAGGCTATAAAGTAGTTCTGCCCAGTGTTACCGGCGCTTTGCATGCAAAAAACGTATCGTCCCATGCGCGCGACAAGGAAAAATAGCTCTTCGTCAACGTGTTAATTTCAATTTCAAATATCAGGAGTTCAGATGTATATTCCGCGTATTTATTTTGGTAACTCAGTGTTTAGTGTTTGCCGTCACAGTCGTCAGTGACATCCTCCATTTCCGGAAAGGGCAATTCTCCAATTCCT